TATTAAGTATAACATGTACTCTTGACATGTTATACTAGTTTTCCTATAGACAGAAGGATATGTGCAAGGTTATATGCATATACTTCACCATTTTTTCTAAGGTACTTCAGCATCCACTGAATTTGATATGGCAAGTTCTGGAACCAATCTACCTCAGATACTAAAGGATAACTGTATTTTTCATTAAATCTTTTTATGTGTACAAAAATATTCATAATAAAAAGTGACAGAGGGATAAAGAATAGCACTTTCGTTTAAGCATATATGTGGATTGACTACTGAACCAAACTAGGTAAAGATAAAATATTGCTTTTCATAGACAGCAAATGTTTCATTTTCTCTGAGCAGTATACATTAGAGAATCAATTTTCCACCATTGACCCAGAGAAATTATGGCCGCCCTTCTGGCTGCGACCACAGGGAACAGCTGATTGACATACACCACCTGAATTAGAGCAGATGCATTGAGATCCCCAGAGGGTAATCCACGCAGACCAGATTACATGACAACACGCACTCTTAGAAAAATATGGGTTAGGAATTACAGATGCCTTTGAGCTTGGAACCCTCACTGCAGACTCACCAGGCCTTGTTATATGAAGATAGCATATCAAGCTATGACCTGAACTTAAAGCAAAATCAAAAAAATATAAAACATCAGCTCTTTCTGACCATTCACCCACCGAGAGTGGGTTCCTTCTTCCTTTTTTTAATCTGCTCAATAAAGTGGACTAAATGGATTCAATATTAAGCAAAAACCCTGGGAAGCCACCCTAAAAATCTGACTTAACACTAATCATAAAGTTCTGGAATCATGAGAAATGTTAGAACATCTGAACATTAGATTTAGGGGTAAAGTATTTCAAATAAAACTCAGGCCTATGAAGCAATACTGTAGGGTGTTTCCTATTTATAAGTGGAGTCTTTTGGATTTGGGGTCCACATCTCAACACTTTGGGGCACCGTTGAGTCAGAGTGCAAACTCTCCTGACTCATCCATGACTCACTGCAGAATCTGGTATTTTTTTAATTGAACTGAAACTAAGCAGAAAGCAGTGGGTTTTCAAGTGGCCCAATACAATCCCTAACTCCACTTCACCTAATCTTTTCATGTACTTTTTATTTTTGCCCTTTCTTTTTCTCTCATGAATTCAACTCACCATCTAGCATCTTCATTGCCATTATTGCCTCTTCCTCTTCCCGCTGCCCTCCCAAACTCTCCAGGCCTACCAGGAGCACCCAAAGGCATTGTTATCACTTGAGTTAAACTTCAGGCAGTGAGCTGTAAAGAATTCTAATGTGGCCCATAAAGCCTGATGGAGTCAGGCTGCAGGCTGAAGCAGTCACAAGAACAGTTCACTTTCCTTTAACCAAAGAACAATTACCCTGTTTATGGGTTGTCAGGCCCTTTCCCTTCTCCTCACTGCCGCCTGCCTTTGATCTCTAACCAGGCATTTTTACCTCTCCTTAAGGAAGCAGGAGACCTGGACACGGAAATCCCATTTTTGTTTCATATTTCCCCAATAAGAGACATGATCTAGGAGGACTAAAGATGACAAGGACTTTGGGGAATATCTGTGGGTTTCACTTATTCAAGGATGTCCTGAATCCTGTTCAAGTTTTCTGATTTCTTGAAAAGTTTCTATCAGCACTAACTAAACTGATAGAAAAACAGAATAAAATCTTAAAAATACAGAAAGGTAAGAGTACATTACGTTTGTTTATCAAAAATTTGCTGTCAGCCAGGCATGGTGGTGTGCGCCTGTAATCCCAGCCACTCAGGAGGCTGAGGCAGGAGGTTCGAGAGTTCAGAGCCAGCCTCAGTCACTTAACAAGGCCCTAAGCAACTCGGTGAGACCCTGTCTCTAAATAAAATACAAAATAGGGCTGGGGATGTGGCTCACTGGTTAAGTGCTCCTGAGTTCAATCCCTGGTACCAAAAAAAAAAAAAAAAAAATTTGCTGTCAATGACAACAGACTCCCAGTATGGGGTGAAGCATGGAACCAGACCCTCCATCTCCAGGAGACCTGAGTGAAGCTGTTGCAAAGACTCAGATGAGGATGAAGCTCTGGAAAACTTCCAGCCAAAAGGCTGGCAATCCAGAGGTCCCTCTGCCACCTATAGGCCAGGGGAGGCCAGTCCCCTAGGGCAACTGGAAGAAGACTCAATAAGGAAGGCTCAACAGAATCAAGTGCCCTCAGCTGAACACAGTCTTTGGTGGGGGATGCTCACAGAAGTGAAAAATATGTACTTCAAGGCACAAAAGACACATTTGGAAATCTGAGCAACATGGTAATCTAAGCCCCTTCCTGAGGCTCATGTTCTCAATGCCTCAGTTTTTTTATCTGTCAAATGGAGGTCATAATAGTGCCTTCTTACTTGCAGGGTCATTGTAAAGATTGAATCAGTATGCATAAACTGCTCAGAAAGGGAGGGTCTAACACATGATAAGCCGTATATTAATGCTAAGTATTTGGTATTATAAGGTAGAAGCATGCCTACAGAAAAGTGTGCTAAAGAAAGCTTACCTTCTTTGATATCCACCTTCTACCAGGCAGCCAGAAGTACCCAATCAACTTCAGCAGACCTACTACTAACTAGCCAGAAATACCTATGCCTCAAATCTTTGGTTCCCCGTTTAAACTCCCAGAAGCCTGGAGTGGTCTGGAGTGGTCTCAGCCAAGGCCAAACAAGTGAGACTCTCCCTAGCAACTAGGTTCAGATATAAAATTGCAAGATGGCAACATGCTATGATTAAAATGGGAATTGACATATGATTAAAATGGAAATCTACCTGACATGCATGTCAGAGCCCACACATTCTCAGTAGGTAAGTTCTGTAGCTTCTAATAAATGTCCTTAACTCCATGATGCTGTGAACCTCAAAAATTAACCTGGTAGAAGATGGAGGCAAATTACACTCCACATTATCAAGACACAAATGCAGTGACCTTCAACAAAGTACATGGCCCCAGAGTCTGTGACATAAACAGGTAATTGGCCATCAGCACACCTGGATGACACAGTGAGTCAATTCTTCAGAACAGGCAGGGCCACTGACTTTTATGCTCTCATGCTGTGCCACACCTGGTATGCCACAAGAACAATACTTACGCATTACAATAGGGCTTCTTTTCATAGCCTTTGTAGTTGTTCATGTTGAGAGCCATCTTGCAGACCTCACAGTGGAAGCATCCTTTATGCCAATACTGAAAAAAAATATAAATATTTAAAATTTTAGTACAATCCCAATTCTGGTCAGGATGGGTACAGAAGGAAGGCTTTTAAGTGCACCACAGTTCTCATATTTGAAAATACTACAATGAAATACATGGAAGTAGCAATGTGTTTGCCTTTACTTCAGTAAATAAAGCAGGCAGCTATTCGAGTTTTAAATTAATCCTACCACAACTAGACTCATGATGGAAGAACTGCCAAGGCTCTATCCACACTGCACTTCTGTGCACAACCAGAAAGGAACTCTAAGCTCTGTCAGTGGCGAAATGGGGCCCATGGAGTGACTTCAACACGAAAAGGATTCCAGTTGAAAGTACCTAAACGCAGTGTTTGTAGAGCTCTATAACGAGAAAGACTATGTAAAGTGGCCCTGTCCGCCCACCCCATCCCTGCCCAGCTTTCACTAAACTGCAGGAACACGGTTAGACTGGGATGACTGTTGGGATAATGGCTTGCTCAAATAAGACATTCGTAGCATCTAACACAGATTTCACTGGGAACGCCTTGGCTAGTTTCAATTGTCAAGTCACTCGCGATCGCGCCCGGGTCTCTCTCCCAGGCTGTTTAACTCCATCCATACCCAAGAAGGGCAGAGGGCAGAGCGATAGAAACCCGGTTAAAGCCACTTCCTCTGGAATTCCCACCCGGTGGATTAGAGACCCGTGGGTCCGATTCGACACGCAGAGCCGCGTCTCCGGTGGGGATTATTCTTAGCAATGCGGCAGCGGTCACCCGGTGACATATTAATTACTATTTGCCTTTCCCCCTCGTGGCGGTCACCGGAGGCGCTAGGGGCTGGGGGGTTGGGTGGGTGGGTTTGAAGTGAGGGTGAGGGGTGCGGAGTCTCTAGGGAGGGGAGTGAAGGACAGACTGGAGGGGGGGAGAGCGCAGAGTGCAGAACTGCCCCCACCCCGGGTGCCTAGCCTGGTCCCTGGCTGCCGGGGGTCGCCACCGCCGCGCGCCCTCCACAGCAGCTGTGCTGATGCCGCGCAGCCCTGCACCCCTCCAAAAGCATTTCCCAAATTCCAACATCACAAACGTCAAGAATGGTCTCTGACACTCCAGCGGGTGTCTAGCTTCGCGCTCCCTCCCTCTGTGCCAAGACACACAAACACAGCGACCCACTCATCTCTTTCCATCCCAGGTGCCAAAACTTCTTCAAGCAGGTGCAGCCCGGCGCCCGGCAGGTCCAGGCTGGCCTGGCGCCCCCTTCGCTCACCTTATCCAGGCAGTTGACTTTCTCAGTGGGATACACGACTTTTCCGCAGCGGGCGCACTGGGGGTTCATTGTCGCGGTTCCCGCGGGCGGTGGCTGCTGCGGCGGCTGTGGCTGGGGGCTCCGAGGAGCCTCTGTGACATCCCCCGGCAAGCCCAACGCCGCCTCCGGGCAGGCGGGAGGGCGCCGAGCGCCGGGATCTGGGGGTGGGCGCTGGCCCGGGGGCGAGCGGGCCGCGGCGGGGGCTAAGGTGGGTGCGCAGCGGGGCCTGGCGCCTGGGGCCGACCGCGCTTTCCGGCACTCGGGTGCTGGGGCTCGGCTCTGGCTGGGGTTCCGCGCCGCTGGCTCTGCGTCGTTCGCACTCCAGGTACCAGTGACTCACAGACACTCGCGCCCGCCCCTCGCGCTCACTCGCTCCCCGCCGCCGCCGCCGCCGCGCAGGCCAAACCCACCGGCGCGCCCCGACCGAAGTGGCAGTGAACGAGCACGTCGGGCACCCAGGGAGGGAGGGCGAGGCGGGGTGGGGGGGACGGGGAGGGCCGGGACCTGGAGCTTGCAGGCAGCTGCGGGCGGCGACAGTGTGGCCTGGGAGCGAGCCTCCCGCGGCAGCCGCCGCAGCCTAGGCGCCCAGGTGGGCGGCGGCGGGGGAGGTGAGGGGTGGAGGCGGCGGGACTCAGGGGAAGGGCTCCACGGCCGCGCACTTTGGTCCCTTCCTCCTCTCTCCCCAGCAGGGCGCACCTCCACTCCCAAGCTGATGTCCCTGACACCCAGAAGACGCAGGGAGCCCGGGTCCAGGATGCGCCAGTGCTTCTCCTGCAGCTCAGGGGAACAGCACCCCTAGCAGCACCCAGTCTCCCGGCAGAGGTTGCCCCGGCCACGCGCAGCGACGCGCCTGGGAGCCGGAAAACCAGCCGGGAACTCCGAGATTCGAGTCACGGTGGCGCCGGGGTTGTTCCGCTCCCGCTCCCATTGACCCCTTCCGAGTAGATGCGCACTCGATTGCCTGGATGGGGAACAGCCTGCTTCCTTACAGGCTCCCAGTCCCTGAACTCTTTATACCTGCCCTTGGAGAACGACGGGCTTTTAGGCCCGAGTCAAGCCTCCCTTGATTAATAGGAGCCGTCGTTCATTTTATTTTAAGTCTGTGTATGCACCGTTTTGTTGTGCAATGAAGCACCACAAGAAGCTGCGAAAAGTTCTTCTTCTGCGTTGAGAGAAGCAATGACAAACTCATGGTCCAAACCAGAAGAGTCAGAGCATCAAGCTTAAGGGTAGGATGAAGCCAAACAAAACGGCTATCATTTTTTAATAAGAGTTCAGGTTATTTGTTTCGCTTTGTTAGAGGTAGTAAAATGGAGATATACTATCAAGAAAGCCCAACTCATCAGTTATTAATTTTGTGACCTTGTGCAAATTTTTAGCCTCTCCATGCCTCAGTTTTCTAATCTACAAAATGGGGGTAACGATGGAATTACAAAATAGTGCCTCCCCGCCTATTGTGAGGATTAGGTGAGTCAGCAAATCTCAAGAGCTTCAGCCAGCCTGGCTCTTGGTAAGCACTGCATAAGAGTCAGGATTATCATAAATTGGTCACACCAAAGAAGCAAACACATTCCATTGCTAGCACACGGATTAAGTCTAAGTAATGCCACATAGCAACTACTGTGACAAAGATTTCTGTCATTTTTTTTTAATTCAGACCTGCATCTTTTCATGAGAAAACTTGATTTCTGAGCCTCTTAGGCGGGCTGTGCAGATGAACTTATTCAAAATAATACTGTGCTGTTTTGTCTTTTTAGAAGAGGTAACTTTTTTAAAAGTATTCAGGGAGCAGGACAGCCTCTGAACCCTCTGTTGTGTTCACAAACCCACCTCAAAAGCAGATAAAAGGATAATTTGCTGTCAGAGATGACCAGTTATCTCTGACAAATACCTTAGAGCTCATTAAAAATGCTTGAGGAAGAAAGTATTTATATTATCTCCTGAATGGCAGTGATTTTTTTTTCAGCATTTAGTTTTTCACAACTGAAAATCATAAAATATAGTTTAAATATCTTACTCTCCTTCTTAAATGATGAACATAAAATTCAGAGGCAGAATAGTAGTGAGGTGTGATATTTATAGCTGATTATAGTGAATGTTTTAACTATAAATTCCATAATCTCTTACCAAACCAGTCTCCTACCCCAGTGACTAACAGAGTTGGTACAAATTAAATGTTTACTGAAAGTATGACTAAAACCAATGAATACATTAAAACCAGTAGGAAATGTGCTGTGTTGTTTTCTGAATTATATTTTCCTTCCTGTGTCTCTTACTCTTTTTGTTTTCTACATCAAGCCAGTTTCTGAGTTGCTTAATGCCATTTTTCTGATGTAAGAAGAATTTTAATACCATCTGTCTTTAGAAGGACTTCCAGATTCAAAGTACTATAAACAGAGAATTGGCAGTAACCTGTCATCTGGCCCAGCCTTCTTCCTCCAAGTAGATGAATGATTTAATTGTTCCGCTAGGAAGACCTTTTGCCTTCCATGTCTTTTTGCACTTGACTGGTCAAGAAATTGTCCCTTATGATAACTATTCTCCAATACGTCGGCTTTAATTTAAATCCCTTTCTGCTAGCATAAAGCATAGATATTGAAAATAATTGACCATCACTGTCTTTATAAAACATTTATGTATTTATTACATTTTTTTCTTTACCTAAAATGAACAAATCTGTTTACTCTTCTCTCTGGGGTCTCCTTATACGAAATCAACTGAAAACCCTACAATCATTACTCAGGATATGTAAATTGAACTCCAAATTCAAAGTTTGAAGGAGTAATTAATATTACAAAAGGCTAAATAGTGGTTTGACAAACATTACCTCTGACACACTTGTGGTGGGTTATGTTATTTGTTCAGGTTTCTTCCCCTGTCACCCTGGCAACACTTCCTGTGGGCAGAGTACATTCCTCTACTCAAAGCAGAGATGTTGAGTTTGACCACGTGATGTCCTTTAGCCAATGGAATGCGAGTGAATGTGAAATAAGTTGTTATCAGAGCCAAAGCTTTACATGTATTTGCATAGTTCACCCTGTTCTCCCTTGCCTTTGAGCTCTATCCCTTCTTAACCTTGAGTACAGCATATCTTAGGTAAGGGATGGTTTTTTGACTTGTGTCCAAGAATGAGAAGACCTAACTAGATATGAGAGCCCAACTTAGTTCAGTAAGCCCCTCCATACCCATTAGAGTCACAGCAAGCTTGTAGCCTTCATATAATGGGCAGAAGAAATAATTGTCATTGTAAACCACTGAGATTTGAGGTGTTATTTGTTACTGCAGCAAAAGCTGGATAATACACAATGATAACTAAAGGGAAATTTTTTTCTACCTCATTAAAAATAAGGAAATAATTACACACAAGATTTAGCATGTTTTTCTTTTTGACTTTTCTAAAAAATATCCTGTACATGTATATGAAGTATAATGACTAGCTGAGCACAGTGGAGCACACCTATAATCCCAGTGACTTAGGCGACTGGGGCAGAAGGATCCCAAGTTCAAAGCCAGCCACAGCAATGGCGAGGTAATAAGCAACTCAGTGAGACCCTGTCTCTAAGTAAAATACAAAGAAGGGCTGGGGACATGGCTCAGTGGTTAAGTGCCCTTGGGTTCAATCTCCTGTACAAAAAAAAAGTGTAATGACCAAGTCAGGCATGGTAGTACATATCTGTAATTGCAGCAACCTAGAAGGCTGGAGGCAGGAGGATCACAAGTTCAAGGCAACAATTTAGCAAAGCCCTAAGTAACTTAGTGAGACCTTGTCTCAAAAAGGGATAGAATTGTGGCTCAGTGGTTAAATGCCCCTGGGACTTCAATCCCCAGTACAGAAGAAGAAGAGGAAGAGGAGGAGCATAAAGCATAGAACTCTTACTTTCATCTTTTTATTCTATAAATGGCTTCCATTTATCAGGTATTGCATAAAGTTGTGTGTATTGCTTCAAGTACACTCAGCTTCACCCTGGAGGCAAGTTTTACCAACCAACAACTTTGGCAGGTGAAGCTAAAGAAAAACAGTAAATTTTAGCTCAGACTTTCATTTGATCACTGTATATGTTAAGAAGCATTTTCTGAAGATCTTGAACAATTTAGAGAAATTATCTCATTTACCAATATAGCATTCCTGCTATATTGTGAGAAAGTTATACTGTGAGAAAGTTAATATATATACATATGTATATAAAATATGTATTTTTTAAATACATATTTTTAAAATATGTGTATTTTTTTACATATACATATTAAGGGAAATTCAAGATTCAGAAGCTTTAATAGAAACAATTTAATTCTTCTATTCAATATATAATCATTGGTAGGCAAGATACCAAGCCCAAAAGGATGTAAGTAGAGGTATGATCTCTACTTGCAATAAATACAGTGGGATAAATAAGTAAGTAAAATTATTCCATAAGGTGATTAATTCTCTAAAATAAACCTCTGCTCTAGAAACCATGAAGAACAGAGGAACTTCTCATTCAGACTGGAGTGTTAGGAAAGGCTATATACAGGAATCGGTCGGTCACTACATGTACCCCTAGAAATAAGAATTACCTCTCCCCCAAGAATACAAGCCTACCTAAGAAGAGTTTGGAGTGATTTTTTTTCCTGTCTTAGGGATTATTCTGCTTTTGTGAACATACTGAAGATTTATTTACATCATTTCAGTGTTCCCTCCCACCATAGCATGCTCTAACAATGAGCTTCAAATAATAATATCATTTATTGATAGATGATATAACTCCTCAAAATAAGCTCCAAACCCCTCATTTACCAAAAACAGGTGTAGACATCAACTCATAATTTCAAATCTGACTGAAAATCTTCTGTAATTTGGAAAGAGAGAAAAGAAAAGAAGGAAGAAAAACAGTTCCTCATTTGGGCCCTTCTGGACTGAGCTCTCCCCACAACCCCCACAGACCAAGATAAAGGATAAAACAGACCCTTCATGGGAGACAAAATAATTCCCCTCAAAAGAGTTCCTCCTCATGATCCCCTGTTAATATATTGCTTTACATGGTGCTAGAGTTTGGATCTGGAATGTCACCAGTCTGTGGCACTATGGGGAGGTAGAACCTTTAAAAGGTGAAACCTCATGGAAGGAATTTGGGTCATTTGTGTTGTGTCCTTAAAGTGGCATGGGGAAAATAAAAATTAAAAATAAATAAAATAAAATACTTTAAAAGAGGGGGGTGAGGAAGGAGAGAAAGAGAGATTGGCACCTCATCATTTTTTTTTTTCTCTCTTGATGCCAGGCTATGAGGTGAATGCACTTCCACCACCATCCACTCCCCACCATGATGTGCTGTCTTGCCACAAGACCAACAAAAGCATGGAGCCAAGCAACACAGACTGAAACCTCCAAAGCCATGAATCAAAATAAATCCTTTCTGTTTTTAAGTTGATTATCTCAGGTATTTTGTCACAGTAACAGAAAGCTGACTAATACCTGTTGCAAAGGTACTTTGTAGCTGTGATTTTTTAAAAATATTTTTAGTTATATTTGGACATAATAACTTTATTTTATTTATTTATCTTTCTAGGTGGTGCTGAGAATCAAACCCAATGCCTCACACATGCTAGGCAAACACTCTACCACTGAGGCACAACCTCAACCCTATAGCTGTGATTATTAAGGATGTAAAGATAGATTAGCCAGGTAGGCCACTGTAATCACAAGTATCCTCAAAAGAGGAAAGCAAAGGGGTCAGAGTCAGAGAAGGAGATATGACAACAAATGCAGAGGTCAGAGACTTGATTTGCAGATGTTATACTACTAGGCTTGAAGATGGAGGAAGGGAACACTAATTAAGGAAGTCACCATCTAGAAGCTGCATAAAGCAAGAAAACAGATTCTCTCCTGGAGTCTTCTGAAGTAATGCAGCCCTGCCAAGAACTTGATTTTAGGACTTCTGACCTTCAAAACTATCGGACAATAGATATGTGTTAACAATTAGTTTGATAACTAACAATAAGCTTCAAATAATAATATTATCTTGATAGATGATATAACTCCCCTCAAAATAAGCTCCAAATCCCTAATTTACCAAAACCATGTGTAGACATCAATAGGAAACTACTACACCCTCTCTGTGTGCATTCTCTTCTCTTTAGAGCCATAGTCAGTTCCAGGAGTTCAAAAAAGAAATAAAAGTCAAAATGACTGTGATTCTTTTTCCATGTTCTCTTTTTTAGGAAAGACCTGAAAACAAAGTGAGTAAAACAAGCATTCATTTTCTCTCCTCCTCCTCCTAATGAAAGGACTTACTTTGTTTGCACTCTCCATTTTATTTTGCACACTGCAGACACAAACATTTTAGTTCAATCACAAAGTCAATATATTTTTCTACAAATCTCCCTGAATTTTCCTCTCCTCCTTTATAGAGCAACCTAGTAACATCCTCATCTTTTCATCAAGAACCCTGAAAATCAACCCAAACTCCTCTCTCCCTAAGCCACCCTGTCCAGTTATTGAATCTTGCCAATTTATTTAGTTCCATTATTCAATACTTATTTATTTATTCAACATAATTCTTGAATCTGTCTCCAGACCTTTAGCTTAGCATAGCAATTTATGTCTCTCTTGGATTGTTCTGCAATGACTCTCTAAAAGTCTTGTCGTCATGAAATTACAAGGAAGGAGGTGGGATTTCACTCTCCCTTGACCAGACTCAGAAATGTTGTAGATTAAAAAATACCTATCTCCAGTCCTGGGACCTCACATACTATGTTATATTTTTAAATGAAAATTAATTCATACAGTGCCTAGCCCCCATTGAGAACATAATAAATATTTGTTTAATCATTAAGTAACCACAGTGAAAAAGAATATCAAACTCCTTAGTGTATTTTTAGCTAAATCAGACAGGAAGCAACAACTATGATTATAGTTATTATTACCGTTTTTGTGTATTTCAAGACTGCTTTCCCAGTCATCTGCCAACTTCATAAATATCGAGCTACCAGCATAAAATTTGCATTAAAAATACTTTTCTTAAGATACACATATAAGAAAAAAAAAAGAATCATATGTGATTTAGACTATAATTTGCCTCCACTGACTGCTATAGACTGAATTGTATCCCTTTCCTCAAAATCCATATATAGAAGCCCCAATTCTCAATATGAGAGCCTTTGGAAATGGGACCAGTAGAAGAAAATTGTTTAGATAAGGTCATGAGGGTGTGGCTCTCATGAGATTAATGCCCTTGTAAGAAGAAAACAACTGAAGGGCCACTCATCTCTCTCTCATCTCTCTCTCCCTCCTCCCTCCTCCCTCCTCCCTCCTCCCTCCTCCCTCTTCCCTCCTCTCTCCTCTCCTCTCTCCTCTTCTTTTCCTCCCCACCCCCACTCTTTCTTGTGGGAGGACACAGCCAGAAGGTACCATTTATAAGCCAGGAAGACAGTCCTGGCATGCTGATCCCAGACTTCTTTCTTCCCAAAACCATCAGAAAAGAAATGTTTGTTGTTTAAGATAGCCAGACCAGGGTATTTTATTATGGAAGCCCAAGTTAATATTCTCCCTCAACATGGCTGATAATCAGTTGAGAACTAGATCAAGGAAAATGGTCTTACCCAATAAAAATAGTGACACAAATAAAGATAAGTTGTTTTTAATTCCTTGTAGTGAGTTCTTATTTTTTTTTTTATTTTTTACACCAAAACTCTGACTCACTAATTAGTATCAATTTAAAACTACAAAGGAAAGCAGGTTCCCAACCTGCTGGGCAAGAATTATTGTTATATTCTGTGATAAATCAAATTAAGGTCTCTCCTTCCTCTTAATATAACAAAAGCAAACACCAATTTAATCAGTTTAAAGAGTAATCATAAATTATATTATTTAGCCATGATCAATGAAGGCTTGTTTTAGATAGCTTTCAAAAAGAAATAGAATTGAAAGTTGACTAAAATTCTAGGGCTGAGATATAGCTCAGTTGGTAGGACACTTTCCTTGCGTGCACAAGGCCCTAGGTTCAGTCCCCAGCACCAATACAGGAGATCAAGGGCTAGAATATACCTAAAATTCAAAAGCATTTCAGAGGGAAAGAAGATTTCAACTCTCAAAAGGATTCCCAGGGAAGGTAGTATTTCCTATAGATTTTTTGATTACTAGAAACAGAGACCCACTCAAGTATTCTCAGTAAAAAGAGACAGTTTTGTTCCTCAGATGCAGAAACCCAAGAAAAGCTGAACAACAGGGTCTCAAAATAATAAATTAAAGCACACGTTGTAATCCCAGCAGTTCAGGAGGCTGAGGCAGGAGGATCACGAGATCAAAGCCAGCCTCAGCAAAAGCGAGGCGCTAAGCAACTCAGTGAGACCCTATCTCTAAATAAAACGCAAAATAGGGCTGGGGATGTGGCTCAGTGGTCGAGTGCCCCTGAGTTCAATTCCCAGTACCCAAAAGTAATTAATTAATTTTTGTTAAACAAAATCAGATCTGTAATAGAATCTATTCAAGGATCTTCACTTCAGCCACCTGCTATTATTGGAAGAGAAGAGTGACACTGAATAGGACCACATGAGCACAGGGACACCAGGTGGTAGTCACAGTGGGCATTTAATAGCCTCACCTACCCAGAATATTAAGGGAGGCTTGAGAATCAAAATCATGAAGGCCTAGAATAGTTTTTTAAAAATCGAATATCATGTTGGTCTTGGTGGCCTGTAATCCCAGCAACTTGGGAGGCTGAAGTAGGAGGATCACAAGTTCAAAGACAGCCTCGGCAATTTAGCAAGGTCCTGGGCAACTTAGCAAGACTCTGTCTCAAAAGAATAAAGAAAAGAAAAAAAGAAAGAAAATTGGATATTATGATAGATAAGATATGGCTGCTTGTATTTTTTTCTTTTAATTTTAAGATGAATTAGTGGAAGTATTTATATTCTTATCTCTAAGAAATACTATGCCCATTTGTAAGATATAAAAGTAAATGTAAACAAGGAAACCATCATGGACACAAAAGAAAGACATAAGCCCTTAGTGACTAGAAAACTGCTAGTTCTGAGCGACAGTTCAAAGACCTGAACGTGTGCTGTCCAAAAGAAACACAGCGAGGGCCACGAATGTGAGCCACATGTTTTTAACTTTTCTAGTAACTATATTTTAAAAAGTAATGAGAAACAAGTGAAGGAACTTTAGTAGTATATTTTATTTAACCTAATTTATCCAAAATATTATTTCAACATGCAATTGATATTTTAAGAACTAATGAGATAGTTCACATTGGTTTGTTTTTTTTTAAACCAAGATTTCTATTTTACTCCAATCACACCCCTCAATTGGGCCAAGCCACGTGCAAATGCTTCATAGCCTCTGGTTTCTACTTCGACAGTATGATGCTCATTTAGCCTAAGACAGAAACAAGTAGGAGGTAGAGGGTCAAGGTCAAGGAACTGAACAGGGGTGGTGTTTGCATGTTGTGAAAGGTTCCCCACAGGAGTGATTCCACCAAGGCTTTGGAGCCAGGATGGCACCCAGTTCTGCTGACAACCAAACTGCTGACCAGATCACCTCCACCCTGGTTCCTGGGACCTGGGCCCAGCAGGAAAGGAAGTGATGGCCGAGGCAAATGAATGAGTTCCGAGGAGAGAAAGGCAGAAGAGGGCAGAAGATGAAGAAGGAAGACCTAAAGTGAAAAAGGAAAGACATGAGCTTAGATAGGAGTGGGCATGGGAGAGGAGGATGGATCCACAACAGAGGGAGCCCCAAGCAGGAAAAACAGAAGGGGGTGGGGCGGGAAAGGGATGAACTGAGAGAGACCTCTGAGCTGAGCCCTGGGTGCAGCTGAAGTCAGCTAGGTCCAGCAATGAATTTCTTAAGAAAAAAAAAAAAGACAAGTGCTTGGAAAAATCAACAAAGCCACGTCAAGGACAAGTGTCATTAATGAAAGTAGAATGTTCTGTTTTGTACTAACTATTTAATTCAGTTGCTTAATCTGCTTGTGGTCAGCTAGCTCAACAGGGTTTTGTTTTTGTTTTTGTTTTTGCAGAGCAGGGGTAGTCCGGTGGGACTGAACCCAGGGCCTGGAGCATGCTGAGCATGGGGGGGGCACCCTCTAACTCTGTGGGGGCACCCTCTAACTCTGGTTTTTGAGCTCAGGACTAATGGCCTGAGCTCCTAGTAATAAGGCCTATTTGCAGGCTTCATATAAATAGAAGATAATTGCCAGGCAAGTTTCTTACAAGTGAAGACGGTGAAGGCTAACCCTAACGAAAACTAGGCTAGGAGTTCACGTCCCCAACATTTTTTTTCCGTATTTCCTTGATCATGCTTTTCATTTTTTCAGAGGACTATGGGTGGGTTCAAGCTTGTCAAAAGATGGTTTCCTGCTTTGAATAATGTAGAAAAAAAAAAAGAAAATGTCCTGAGGCAAAACGACATCAGAAGCAACCAAGGCTGAAACATGGACTGGTTGCTAGTGAAGGGCTGAGATTTCACTGAAAAATCCAGAAAGTGGTTTTTTCTTCATTGACAGCGACTCGTCATACAGGGAAAACATGCAGCCTGCTCTTTACCAACATTTTTGAAATGTGTACTGTACAAATGTGCCCATTAGCAGTAGAGCAAGTAAGTGTTCTTCAGCATGAGTAACAGGAATTAAATGAAATGAATGGGAACTGGCTTCACGGAGATGGAGGGAGAAAAGAGCCTTCATTATATAAAAAGGAAATCTGAGCCCCTGCTGCTTGCCTCTGCTCTAGCAGCTTCATCCAATAAAAACAGGCATTAATGCTCAAATAAAACAAAACATGTAATGCTGTAACAGGGTACCTCTTAAAAATTAAAGTGAAAAGGGAAAACATGATGTTAAATAGCACTTAATGATAGGAAAAGATGTTTCTAATATTTTGTTAACTGAAAATGGCAGGTTATAAAAACATGTGTTCAACCATGATCTCTTTTGGGGGGCAGAATTTTATACAAGTAAATGTGCATAAGAAACACTGGTAAACACTGAAAATGTTAACAGAGGTGGGATTACAGTTTGCATTTTCCTTTCTGTTTTCCAAATGTTCTACAATAAATAATATTATAACAAGTAAACTCTTCTACGAAGCAGAACAAGTCTTTGTTTTTGAAATTGCTGCCTGACACCCCACCAGGCTCAAGTGCCATGAAAAGTGGCAAATCTACCTGTCACTCAAATGGTCCTTCTCATGCTCCATTAGAGAAAACAGTGGAGCTAAGAGGAAACAATGACCAGTTGGGGACAGATTTTAGGGTGTGGGCTTCTGTTTTGTTTTGTTCACATTTTAAGAATGTACCAGGTAACACCCAAGCTTTGCAAGCCATAGCCCTTGTTCTGGCCTCTAAAAAGAGCAGAAGGGCACGGAAAGGTTATCTCTGGGCAAAGGCTAATGGGAAAGAAATACAGGTCCCACCCCTTCCTGGAATTCCTGGTAGTGAGGAACCAGGTAGGATTTGATTCCCCAAAACTCTACGTGAGGAGAGGTACACCAAGCCAAATGCATAGAATTCCAACTTCTCTTTCTTCTCCATGTGACACATACATGACCTTCATAAAATTCTAGCAGCTTGTACAATAGATTTTGTCATTAGATAAGTCCGGGTTATCTGACCTTTGTAGACCTTCCATTTTGTCTTTCTTTCATATCCCAACATGTTGGCTGATAAGGGGGGTTTCAATTATAACTCCACCGCTGCTTGAAATCTGAAAAACTAGCTAACCAGTGTCAGAGATTCATGCTGTGATGGCTTGTTGTTTTTTTGTTTGTTTGTTTTGTTTTTTTATACCAGGAATTGAAGCCAGGGGTGCTTAAACACTAAACCACATCCCCAGCCCTGTTTTATTTATTTACTTACTTTTTAAATTTTGAACAGGGTCTTGCTACAATACTTAAGGCCTTGCTAAATTGCTGGGGTTGGCTTTGAACATGCAATCCTCCCATCTCAGTCTTCTAAACTGCTGGGATTACAGGTATATGTCACATCACCTGGCCTGGCTTTGTTGGATTCTTGAGGAGACACTGTTGTTTTGTTTAATTCCCATTGACATCTAAATACCCATGATCTAATGAAACAGCCAAGCAAAAATATAAATTTCAAATTCTAAAAGTTCAGGTAAAATCAATTCACACTTCAGAATTTTTTAAAAATGTTATCTTTAGGCATAGAAATCTGTTAGAGATATATTTGATATAAAAGTAGATTAAATAGAATATACATAATTATACCCCTTTTTAAAAAATGTTTATATATATATATGTATACATATGTTTAAATTCTCTCTTCCTCTCTCTCTTTATATATACGTATATGTATTTGTATATCTATATATATTATATATGTGTGTGTGTGTGTGTGTATACACACACACACATGCATAAATGCACACACACACATATATATATATATATATACACATACATATTTGCATTAAAAAGTCTGAAAGTTATTTTAGGGTGTTGACATTGTTTACTGTTAAAGGTGGATATCTCAGTCCATTCACATTGCTATAACAAAATACCATAAATTGTTTAACTTATAAACAATAAGAATTTATTTTTCATCATTCTCCTGGAACTTCCAGGAGTTCCAGGAAGAGGTGGGACCTGTATTTCTTTCCCATTAGCCTTTGCCCAGAGGTAAACTT